GAGCGCTCTATCCTACCGAGCGAACTTACAGGGGGGGGGGGCAAAAAAAAGAGTCACTTTGCCTATGGCGCATATCATCAAACTTTTCGTCGCAAAGGATGCCGCTGTTATTGGGAGTTATACGGCAAATTATTCCTTAGATGTCCCCCATAAGCAGAATCAGGCCCACCTTCGCTGCGTTCACCGTCTCCAGAATATGACGTCATCTGTCATCACCGTCGAGCTTAAGGCCTACTATAATCGCTCCATTCTGAAGCTGCTACATAAATTCTTCAATCGGAATAACTGGTGAATGACTTCTTAGAGACACTAGCTCTGACTATGCAAAATGGCTTTTGACCAGCGTTTCAGAGACGTCGTAATCATCTATGGTTTCTCGACGACCCCGTTGAGCTCGTACCGCGAACCATGTTTCCGTGGGAAAATCTTCTGGTGTCGTCGGTTTAGAAGGCCACTATGCAATGTTTTTGATAGAATAGAATGTGCTCTTCAATATGCAATTGAGCTCATTCGGTTTGGTTTTGGCAAAGTGTAATTAATTCTGTTTTGAATGTGAGTAGGAGTGACTCTTTTTTTGGCCCCCCTGTACATACGTTGTTCGCTGAGGGAGACACTAAGCCGGTGTGATGTGAGTAGGCAAAAATCACCTTCATTCTGTGCAGATTCTGTCGGGTGGCTTGTATCAAATCCCGTTCAGGTCTACCCAACCTTTTACTCCGCTGTGATTGCTTTGTTACTACCCGTCTGCGAGGACAGGTGCTCGTGCATCGGCTGGTCCCTGCGTTTCATTGTATAAGGCAAAATGCATTGGAGATGTTATTAAATTCAAATAGGAAGTTGAGCATCACAAAAGGAAGCGATCAAAAACGAGTAGATGTGTTCTTTCTTACATTAGCTACTGTGTGGTAATGGGTTGCAACGAGTATAAGTGATATGAAATAACAGGCGATAATATATGTTCAACGTGGGAGAAAAGACATCTGAGGAAGCCTTATATAGCTCCTAACACCAAATGATGTATTTTATATGTGAACCTAGTTTATGTCTCATCGGCCGGGAATACTCTATTGCAGGTGATAGGATTCAGCTGTGTCACTTGCACTTGTGAGATTGAACCTTTGTGAGGGGGATACGGTGTGCAGCAAACTTGGTCTCGGGTAAAGTACAATAGGGGGTAATTAACGCAAATCATATACTAATTCAGATGCAAGCGAATACACTTTTCTGACTTGATTTTGTAATTTTGTTATTACTGGGGTGCAGGATTGGTCCGAATAAGTTGAAGAAGTGGTGGAAATTTACCGTGCTGGAAATCGACAGTTGCGAAAATCCAAAGGTGCGCGCGGTACGCAATTCGCACGAGCGATAAGAATATGCCTACGTGGGATAGGCATGGCCCTACACGACGCTCTTCCGATCTACGCCCAATGACTGGCTAACCACTCACCGCAGGTCCCGACCCCGTTTACCAGAGAGAGTTTGAGCGTTGAAGAAGGCAGCACTGATGAGGGTGGCATTCGCAATGCGGACTCAACCGGCAAGGAAGGGGTCCATTTCTTCGGTGTTCTGGTGCCACTTTTCATGAAATGGCATCATTCGCGGGCATACTAAGATCCCTGTACCTTATGACTCTAATGGCCTGCATTTTGATCATGAACTCCGTCTTTCAACCGTTCGTTCCATTTCTCTCCTCGCCTCTCTTTCGGTCTTAAGTTGTGATGGCAACACCGTGTGGTATGGTCATAAGTAACAGGCTGTTCATATACCAGTCACATTGTCTTATAATAGCACTTTAAAATGATGCCACTTCACTAATTCGGGCAATACGTGGCGTATTCTTTGCCTCGCTGAAACTGCAGGCGTCATGCCAAATTTGAGGTCCTGGTTCAGTTACTGGAAGGTTCAAAGCATTTTTCGACGAGATGGTCAAATTAAGTAGTTAACCGTATTGCCCGAATTGATGCATCAAAATTTTATGTAAAGGCGAAATTTAGAACCAGAGGCAGGGCTTGAGAAAATTTCATATGCAACGCCAAGAACTAACGTGAGGCTCTATAGCTTCACCTGTCGTGCGGGTTCTATATTTGCTTCTCTTAAATCAAATGTGGCACTCGTCACTCCCACTTTTGTGCTTTTCAAGCGCCTAGCTAGGAAAGAATTGTTGAGTTATAGCTAGGGTATATATGGAAGTTTCTTGTGTTGTTGCCCATTTAAGTTGGTTCCTACAATTGCCTTATGCAGTATGTCTGCCTTTCAAATGAATAAATAAATAAATAAGCAGATAAATAACAAACAAATGGTTGCGTTTTGATTCATCTTTTTGAAGCCCTGAGACTTCAGGTTGTGCGAAAACGTTGCAAAGGTCAAGGGTCACTCTGAAAAGCCAGCACGATGTTTTTATTGTGGTCAAATATCAAATCGTAGTGCCCAACGTCGCGGCAGTAAAGGCGAAATGTGAGTAAACCGTTGAAAACTCTTTAACACATTCACGCCGATGGCCGCCCATATGGGCTGCCAACAACATGCGCTCCTGGGACGATGGCAGCCCATATGGGCTGCCAGCTGATAATCGCTTGCCAGGCGCTAGGAATGGACAGATAGGTGGGCAAACCTCGTAATCGAGTGTGCTCTCTTTTTGTAACACTATTTGTCGTTGATCGAAATCCTACTGTTATATGTTTCAGATAATCTTTACGCATTGGACATTGCAGAAATTATTTTGTGACATTCATGTTTTTGTTCATTTACAAAACAAAATCTGCGGTTATGTGGTGAGGCGGCGGCGCCCACAAAATCGCGTCCGTCCCACGCGACCGAAAAGTGGAAAAGGGGCGTCGTCGTGAATGTGTTAATGGGGGTCTTCGCAACCGCTCGGGAACGGGACGATTTTAAAGGGGGCAGGTCGGCTTGGGTTTGCAGCCTCACTGCGTTGCAAATAGCCCAACTTACATCGCGAAATCGTCACACTTTGCTTTCTATGGCCACTGGGTGCCACTTCCGCTGGTGCATATACTTACATGAAGTGGACTCCCTTCACTAGTAGCACTCACTGCCTCAAAATCACTCGAACTCGTAGAAAATCTTGAGCACATAACAAGGGAACGCGGTGAATACAGGGCTTCGCCTAAAATTCGCACGAGACGGATTGAATCCCACGTGAACTAGCTAGGCTTGGTAATTTGCATTGGGTTGTCTATGTAAAAAAGTCGACCTAAGCAAAGCACAGACACGCCCACGCTAGTCATTGTGTAGAGCCGAAATGTTTGCACTTAAATGCCGCAACAATGCTGAATGGAAGTCGACGGCGTGATAAAGGCGTCGCCCTAAGTCCTCTAGTTCACTCCTTTTTTGGTTTTTATGGAGGACAGTTCAATGGGGGAACCTTTTCACTCATCAAACGATCAAATAGGCGACCATAGACGTCACCCTTTGATTTTTCGTCGAGCGGTCTCACGAGAATTCTAGAAGTACACTTAACTACGTCATAGCCTTGTCATGAATATCTTTCTATCAACACCCACGACAATGGCCAAAATTTCATCTTTCAAAGTGTGTGACGTTGCTTGGTTGGTTCCTAGAGACAGACGTCATCGGTACAACTCAGATGTCAACAGCCGAATGCTCAAGGCGAGAAGTTTGATGGACGTTATTCAGGAGAAAAGATGAACTTTTTACTGAACGCACTGAAACTCCATGACTTGCAAGGCGACTACTAGACACTTGATTAATCAATATTAAACATTAATATGAATGTT